GGTCTTGAGGCTATCTGGAGGCGGTCTTGAAGTCCAGCCATGGAGCAGTCTTGAAGTCCCCCGGACCGAACTGGAGCAGTCTTGAAGTCCAGCCATGGCCCATCGGGGCCATCTTGGACGTCCCTGAGACCGTTTGGGGCTGCTTGGAGGCCTGGGACTCTCTCGGAAGCCCTGGAGCCCATCCTGGCGCCCTCTTAACGCCAAGAGGTGACGAGTGCAACAGATGCCCTGTAGAGGGCCTCTTGGGGCGTTCCCAGAACCAATTCGGTGCATCTTGGAGCCGTCTTGGGAGGAACTTTTGGCCTTCCGGCTGGGCTCCGACTCTTGGGACCTGGCCCGACTGGGGCCCGGAGGGGTTGGACGGTCCCAGCGCGTTGTCGTGGCGACGAGGGGGGGTGGGCGTTCAGTTTGTCCACACATCGCTGACAAACGCCCGGAGTGCGCACGCATCTGCGACGCGTACGACGCGCCGCAGGCGCGATGGTGGATCAATTGTCGGTGCGCGGCCGTGACTCTATTGACTGACGTTCCAGGGTGACTGAACACGGGATTGCAGCTATCAAGAGGGGGTGAGAAGGAAGAGGGTTGATGAGGATGAGTGGTTGATGAGGATGAGTTTGATGATTGTACTGAGGATGATGATACCGATGCCGATGCCGATGCCGATGCCGATGCCGACGACTATGATGATGTTGCTGCTGCTGATGATGATGATGGTGCTGCCGATGATGATGATGCTGATGATGAGGATGCTGATGATGATCATGCTGCTGATGCTGATGATGATGATGCTGCTGCTGATGATGACGAGGTTGCTGCTGATGATGATGCGGATGATGAGGATGCTGATGATTATGATGTTGATGCGTATGGTGAGATGCTGATGATGATGATGATGATGATGATGATTCTGACGATGACGATGATACTGATGCTGATGATGGTGCTGATGGTGGTGAAGGTGATGGTGATGGTGACGGTGATGGTGTTGGCGATGGTGATGATGCTGATGCTGATGGTGGTGATGATAATGATGGTGGTGAGATGACGATGTTGGTGATTGTGATTGGGCTGGTGATAAGGTTGTTGCTGCTACTGCTGTTATTGCTGCTGATATCAATGAGGAGAATAATGAGGATTAGGATGATGAGGGTGGTGCTGAGGAAGAGGAGGAAGAGGAGGAGGAGGAGGAGGAGGGAGTCAGAGGACGAGGAGGATGAGGAGGATGGGAAAAGGAGGAGGCTATGGAGAATGAGGAGGGGCAGAGCAGCAGCAGCAGCAGCAGCCGCCGCAGCGGCAGCAGCTGCAGCAACAGCACCACCACCACCAGACCAGTACCAGCAGCAACAGTAGCAGCAGCAACGCGCAGACGCACTCGCTTCGCGCTTCGTGGCCTTGGCAGGAGAGCTGCCCTTCTCCAGGGTTGCGGCCATTGTGCGCAAAGCTCACTGCGTGGCGCGAGGCGCGAAGCGCGAAGTTTGGCGTCCTCTGACCTATGATGGCTAGGAGGAGGAGGAGGAGGAGGAGGAGGAGGAGGAGGACCAGAAGGAGGACCAGAAGGAGGACGAATAGGAGGAGGAGGAGGAGGAGGAGGGGGACCAGAAGGAGGAGGAGCAGGAGGAAGAGGAGAGGGAGGAGGAGGAGGAGGAGGAGGAAGGAGGAGGAGGAGGAGGAGGAGGAGGAGGAGGAGGAGGAGGAGGAGGAGGAGGAGGAGGGAGGAGGAGGAGGAGGAAGAGGAGGAGGAGGAGGAGGAGAATGAGGAGGAGGGCGAGGATGGAAGAGGAGGAGGGAGGAAGAGGTAGAGGAGGCGGAGATCAGCGGCATCGCGGACCGAGGCGCTGCAGCGAGCCGATCCCGTAGCCCGAGAGCAGTGGATGGCCTACTGCGACCAGTACGGCGAGGGCAAGCGGGACCCGCTGAGGCACGACGACTCTTTTATCCGGGGGGTCTCTGGAAGGTGCTCGCCTCCACGCTTCGGGGTGGGCTAGGACGAGGACGAATCCGTTCCAGAGCCTTCCGGGCCGCTCTCAGAGCGTTCCGGTAGGCTCTGAGAAGGCCGCGGCGCCCGAGACATCGTTCAGAGCTGGTGGATCTCAGAGATTTCCGATAAATCTTCGTCCGAATTGATTCTCGCTTTGGCTTCGTCTTAACGCTGGGAATGCATCCACATCCAGCGAACTGGAGACGTGCCCCCGAGGAGCTCGGGGAGCGTGGTGTGGACAGCTTCCCTGCCATCGGGGGGCAGGGCAGTACACGCCAGTCGTTGGAAGATGGTATTCTTGGGCTCCTAGGTCTCAATGAACTTCAAGTGCCTTCCTACTTCAAGAGTCGATGGTTTTTGCGGTTCTTTTGTAACATTGTTCGGGCGGGCCACCCTACATGATCCGCCCTCCCTCTTCATAGTTCTGCCCACTTCTTGCGACTTGCGGGTATTGAGCTCCGCGAGACTTGGGGGCACGGCTCCAACTCGGTGGATGTGGATCCGTCTTTTCAAAACAGAAAGAGATTCCGATACCGCTCCGCCTCCTCCCACTCCTCCGTTGTCGCTTGGCTTCCTGAGGAGCTCTCGTTCTCATGGCTGGATTTTGCCTCGGAAGCCTGGCCAGGACACCTCCAACAAATGGCGAAGGCATAGCCTTGGCTCCCTAAGGGGGCGCCGCCAGTGGACATACCACGGGCCTGTTTGCACCCAGATTGCGGGGATGTCCAGAGCGATTCCTTTTGTCGGGGTTGCCTGATCACCACGATGTAGCAGGCGCAGCACGCGAGCATCCCACGGGGGCAGCCGCCAGGGCGCAGACCAGGGGCCCGGTCTCGCCCATATATCGTGGGGATGCCTGGACAGGCTCGCCGGTTTGGGAGGCAGACGTGCCTCTTTTCAGGACCGCGCGATCGCCGCCGTGCATCAGGCATGGTAGTTGAGCATCCCACGGGGGAGCCGCCAGGGCGCAGATCAGGGGCCCGTTCTCGCCCATATTGTGGGGATGCCTTGAACGGCTCGCCTGTTTGGGAGGCAGAGACGTGCCTCTTCTCAGGACCGCGCGATCGCCGCCGTGCATCAGGCATGGTAGTTGAGCAATCCACGGGGGAGCCGCCAGGGGGTCGCTTCTTTTAGGAGGTGGGCGTGATTCTCTTCGTGACCGCGTCATGATTGCGGTGTCGCCGCAGGCATAGCACTTGGGCGTCCCCAGGGGGCGCCGCCACGGGGTATATCGCGCGCCCGTTCGCGCCAATATTGCCGGGATCTCTCGAGCGGACCGATGGTTGGAGGCAACTTCGCTTCTTTCCAGGGCCGCAGGACCATCGCGGTGCAGCAGGCGTGGCAAAGGGGGACCCCAAGTCTGGGGGTACCGCGGGCCGGCAGCCCACGGGAGAAGACAGCACACTGGGAAGACAGCCCAAATGGGGGAACGTCCACCAGGAGGTCGCGTTTGATGAGCTTGTTTTCCACCACCACCATAAGTTGGAGGGGGGAAGGAGGTGGAGGAGGAGGAGGAAGACGAGGAGGAGAAGGAGGAGGAGAAGGAGGAGGAGGAGGAGGACCAGGACCCCCTCCCCCCTCCAACTTATATATGGTGGTGGTGGGGGAAAACAGGCCCAGCAGCGCTGGGGGAAGGCCCCCCTCGAGGGGGGGGCGGGCCGCCGCCCCGCTGGGAGAGCAGCCCACGGCGCAAGGCCCATGCGACCGACCGGGCCGCGAGCCTCTGGGAGGGGCCTCCACGAGCGGAGGCCGTTCCAGGCCGAGCCGCTCACGCGGTCGTCACCGCAGGGTGTCCGTTGGAGTGCGCTGCAGCCGCGCGGATATCCGGCGATGGCACGCGTGGATCAAGCGGGCGTGGATTAGCGTCGGGTCCCGCTTCCACTTGAAAGCGCAGATGTCCGCCGCCGAACGAGGCGGCGCCGGCCGCATTTGGGGGAGGGCACCGCCCCCGATCCATGGGTTTGGCGACCGCGCGCCATACCCATGGATCGCTGATGCATGTTTACGCGCGCCCCCGAGAATATCGTCATAGCTCGCAGCAAGTGGTTGGGCGAGTGCGAATCGCCAGGAGCCCATAGTGGGCAGCACGCCCAGCCTTGGATTGCTCGCAGACGTGCGAAAGACGGCGGCGCGGAGCAAGCAGGCCCACGAGCACTTCTTCACGCTGCCGTTACTCTTTCTCCTCCTCTTCCTCGCTGGGGGGCGGGGCGGGCACACTCCTGTTGGCCTCCTTTGTCAACGCCTTCCTGGCCTCCTACCACGCTGGAGTACGCGTCCAGACGGAGGGCGAGACGCTGTCGGGCTTCACTAGGATCATGATCAGGAACGCGGATTCTAAATCAACCCATCGACAACCTCCAGCGTTTCGGGAGTATTGCCCCTTACACATTGGGGAGTGGTAGATGCGGGCGATGTGCTGGTCCCCTACCAGCGGAGGGATGTGTAGATCCACCGCCCCCTGGGGAGATGCAGCAGGATTTCAGAAGTTGCGAACATGCTTCCAGACTGCGAACAGCTGCGATGCAGTGGGATGCTCGAGCTCTCCTCTGCATACGGGGAAGAGTGGGAGGGAGAGGGCGGAGGAGGGCAAGCGAGAAAGATATCATAGCAATGGGGAAAAAGCGGGAAGGGGATGCGCGAAAGGAAGAGGGGGACTGGGGAGGGGTTCGGATCGGGGATAAGCGACAAGACCGCTGCCGAGAGGGCCGCTGCCAGCGAGGAGGCCCCCCCGAGCTGGAGACCGGAGACTTCTCGGGCGGGACGGCGAAGAGCAGCGGCGCCACACCACCACGGCCCCTCGACCATGTTGGCGGTGGTGTCGTCGGCTCGCCTTGGTTCCTGGAGGAGGAGGAGGAGGAGGAGGAGGAGGAGGAGGAGGCGAAAGGAAGAAGAGGAGGAAGGCGGGGGTGGGGCACCTCGCCACGCGGACTTGTCGGCCACCCCGAGTCGGTCGCCGGCCTTCCTGAGCGCCTGGAGCGGCTTCTGCGCGGCGCAGGGCGGCGGGAGGGCGGAGCCGGAGATGCACGACGCCACCTTCCTTGGGCGTCGCGTGCAGTCAACCATGATAGTTAGGACGGGGCAACTTTCCAAGGCTGCCCTTGCATCCTTGCCCCTTCGGCATTCGGCATCCTTCCGCATTCTGCGGCGCTCCGCACGGAAAACGTCAGCATGGCGTTCCAGGGCCCTTGCATCCTTGCCGCGCATCCTTCAGGAGGGGGAAAAACACACAGACACAATGAATCCTCGATTTTCCAAAAGATATGGGAGAATATGGGAAGTGGGGGGGGAAGACGAAACAAATAATATGGGAAAATATGGGAACACTTTTGTTTGTGTGTATTTAATCGTGTGTCCCAGGGCCCCTTCGATCCTGCCTATCCTGGTCGACTGTGAGGGGGAGGCGACAGGTGGGGGGGTGGCCGCGCGAGGGCGGCAGCCGAGGGGCCCACCAAGGGGCCCCGTGAAGGGGGCTCCTCTCGGGCCCCACAGGGGGCTTTCAGGGCCCGTGGGTGCACCCTTTCTCCCCCCCCCCCCAACATCAACGGCTCAAAAAAACGGCCCTACCCTGGTTTTTTCAGCGCTGCGCGCTGAACCTCTTGTGGGCTGACAGGGTGAACCCTGCGCGTCGCGCGTGCCGCGCGGCGTCCTGGCGGCTCTCTGGCCCTCGGGAGCTCCCAGGAAGCTTACAGACCACGCGCTTGTAACCCAGGGTAGGGGCGTTTTTGTTCATCCCTCACAACAAAACAAAACATTACACAACAAAAAATCCCCCCCACACGAAGCGCCCCCCCACAGAGCGACGCCCAGCTTCCACCTCCAGTTCTTGGAGTACCTCGCGCAGGTCGCCGCTCAGGGCATGCAAGTCTCCGCTGGCGACGGGGCGCGGGTTGTCACGGCCGCGGACGTCAAGGGGAAATCAGTTCGATGCAGGCGCCCTCCCCTCCTCAGGAAGTGTCGGCTGGGCATGATGGGAGGCCTTCGTCACCAAGCCTGAATTCGCCTCTAAACCATGTTTCGGGGAAGCGTAAGACTCGAGTACACGGGAACTCGGGTTTGTTTGCGCTCTTTGACGAGCGCGTCCAGAGTTTTGACGTTCCAGTTTTCGTGGAACGTCTGCAGCGGGAGTTCGCGTCAAATTTCGGATTGGGTCTTGACATGTTCAGGATGGACCTGTCAGGCCAACCCGAGTCCACCGAACCCGAGATGTACGTCCCCCCGATTACTCAGAAAGTGTTTTAAGGAAGTCTTGGGAGATGTGGTATCGGTGTAGTCTCGTCCCCACAGGAGCAGGAGGATCCCGTGAAGTGTGCGCTGGTGCAGCAGTGCAAGCAGTTCCAGAGGCGGGGCCCCACGGAGCAGCAGGCGTGGTGGGCGTACTGCGATTCCAGCTACAGCGGCATCCGGGACCCGTCCAGGCACGACGTGAACTCCCTCTCGAATTTCCTGGCGCTGTACATGGACGGAGGGGCCGCCGCACGGAGTGGCGGTGGAAGCTACGTGTAGCGGTGACCAGTGGCAGCTGCGCGCGCTGCTCGGACAAAGGGTGCGCTGCTCTCTCATCCGCATCCTCCCGGGACGGTCCCTCCTGTTCAGCACCGTTCGGGCATCTGCTCCGCGTTACGGTTTCGCGCTGTTTGTTGAAGCGATTTCTTGTTGCCCGCAGTAGCGATCGCACTGACAGTAAAGTCGCGCATGCATGCAGCAATGTGTGGGTAGCCAGGCACCAGCTTGTGACCAACGCCGTGGGAGGGTGCACGAGTGCCTCAGCGCAACCTGACAACGGGTGCAATCATGCTCTTCCTTACTTCCTTATTGCGAAGGCCTTACGGCCGATGCCGCCGACCCTGGAGACGACCCTGTCGTCTGGGCGCGCCAGCCCTCGCGGATCGAACGGTGGCCGCGAGGCGCTGTCCGACGTCGGAGGCGTTGAAAGCGCGCTTGCCGCGCTCGGGAAAGTGTCCCTCCTCCGTTCTGTGATGGGGAATTTCTCCTCCATCCTTCTCTCGTCTCCCCTCCCCCCTCTTCTACAGCTCAACATTCTGAATACTCCTGTCACCGCCGACCCCGTTCGGAAAATAGCCGATCCTCTCCGCGCACAGGTCACTACGGACATACTATGGCAACTGTGGTTTCCCCATGTGTTGGCTGCGATCCGACTGGTCTCGGTTTCCTACTGTTCTAAACGGCGTTTCCGCTTCAGCGTGGGCCTCATTTTCGGATCGGCAATTTGATATTGTCGTTCAGAATTGCCCTTTCGTTCCAGCGTGGGCCATTGTTCTGGATCAGAGTCCTTTTTCATCCTTGTCGCCCGCCCCGCATTTCCCATCCTCGACCTTCCCCTTATCTTCCCGCTTATCCCGCTCCTTCCACTCCATTTTCTGCTGCTGCTGTTCGTCCTCGACCTCGTCCTTCCACATCCTCACCCTTTTCATCCTGCTCATCATGCTGCTCACCCGCCAGCTCCTCTTCCTGCGTAGCGCAGCTCCTCCTGACATGGCGCATAACACTACAGTGGCCTTTTGGAAGGGGGCTCTGCGTCGGTCGTGACACGCGTGCGCGGATAGAGAACAAGCAGGAGGAGGAGGAGGAGGAGGAGGAGGAGGAGGAGGAGATCCTCTTATCTCCCTTCATCCCTCCCTCCACACTGCCTCCCGTCCCCCGTCCAAAACACGATGGGCAGCTGGACATCCGCCCTCCGCCCTCCCTCCTCCCCTGCCCCGCGCCGAGGGACCACGGCCCGGTGCCCCCCTGCCATTGTAGGGGGGGGGGGGGAGGGGCGGTGGGGCAGAGCCAGGACTGCATCCACCCCCGGCTGCTTCTGGCGGGCGTGCGCCCGCAGCATCGTGCGGTCACACGGGCCGTTGCCCGTGCTTCCGCCCACCCGCCCGCCCACCCTCCCGTCCCTCCTCCGCTCTGCCTCCTCCGTGCGGCAGGCCGCCCTCCCTCCTCCCCCGCCCCTCTCGTGCTGCTCCTCGAGTGCGAAGGGGCAGCCCTCCAGCGCCCCCCAGCGAGAGCCGAGGTCGTGGAGCTGGCGGCGTCGAAGAACCGCTGCCTTGCGATCACGGACGAGGGCGAGCTCGTCGCGGCCGAGTGAGATTCCCGCGCATCCCAGCAACAAGCAGCACGCTTGCCCTGGCCCCTTGCACATAGAAGTCCGGAGTGGTCAGAAGGATGCTGAGAAGCAGGGCGGGCGGGAGAAGGATGACGCTGCTGCTACTGATGATGATGATGATGCTGGTGCTGATGATGATGATGCTGCTGATGATGATGATGATGATGATGACGATGATGACGACGCTGATGCTGACGTTGATGCTGATGATGCCGATGATCATGATCATGATCATGATGTTGATGCTGATGTTGATGCTGATTATGATGCTGATGATGGTGGCGATGGAAGTGAAGATGATGCTGATGATGATAACGACGATGATGATGAAGATGATTATGATGATGATGATGATGATGATGAGGATGATGATGAGGATGATGATGATGATGGCTATGCTGACGATGATGATGATACCGATGATGCTGCTGCTCATGATAATGATGACGATGCAGATGATGATGGTGATGATGTTGCTGCTGCTGCTGATTCTGCTGAGTATGATTCAGATACTGCTCATGATGATACTGGTGACGATGCTGATGATGCTGATTACGATGATGATGTGATGATGATGCTGATGCTGTCAAGGACGATGACGATGCTACCGATGTTGCTGATGATGACAATGATGATGATGCTGGTAATGGTACCGATGATGATGCTGATGATGATGATGATGATGATGCTGATGCTGATGCTGATGCTGATGTCGACGATGATGATGATGCTGATGCTGATGATGATGATGGTGATGGTGATGGTGACATTGATGGTGATGGTGATGATGACGGTGGTGATGATGATGCTGATGATGATTCTGACGCTGTTGATGGTGGAGATGATGATGATCACGATGATGATGATGATGATGATGATGATGATGATGATGATGATGATGATGATGATGATGATGATGATGATGATGATGATGATGATGATGATGATGATGATGATGCTGATGATGATGATGATGATGATGATGATGATGATGATGATGATGATGATGCTGATGATGATGCTGATGATGATGATGGTGATGGTGATGGTGATGGTGTTGATGGTGTTGATGCTGATGATGATGATGCTGATGATGATGATGCTGATGATGATGATGATGATGATGAGGAGGAGGAGGAGGAGGAGGTAATTCGTATGAAAGGATGGCGAGGCAGGAGTGCAGGGAAATGGCGAGAAGGGAGAGAGGTGAGGGATGCAGATGGAGAGGAAAGGAGAGTCGACGAAGAAACGACGGCATAAGCATAAGCTTTTTACGGTCCGCGCGGACCGTCGCAAGTTTATGTGTATGCAGTTATTTATCGCTTCTTCTTGAGAGGGATGAAGGGGCACGAAAGGAGGGCGAGCACGTCGCGGCCGAGACGCCCATGTCCGCAGTTCCCAGCGGGAACGCCCGCGGCTGCCAGGGATCCCTGCGGCGAGTGCGCGGCGCGGGCGCTCCCGGGGCGGGGCTCGGGGGCGCAGGCAGAGCTCGGGACCCCCCTCGCGTCGCGCAGAGACTTGGACGCATCAGGGGCGGCCACGACGGGGGTGATGATGATGATTGGGGGGATGCGCCCTCCCGATGATTAGGGGTGATGATGATGATTAGGGGTGATGCGGTGATGATGATGATGATGATTAGGGGTGATGATGATGACTACGGGGATGCGGGGATGCGCCCTCCCGCCCCAGGGGGGCCACATCCAGGAGCTCCGCGCTGCCCCCCCGAGCTCCGGGAGAGGGGCCGCCTCGAGCGAGAGGAAGGGGGCGCCGCGCCACCAGGGCGGCCACTGGCCCCTGCCGCTGTTGGCCGCTGGCGGTGGCGCGTTCCCTTGCTCCTAGGGGCCCGCTGCCCTCCCGCCCCAGGGGCCATGATTACGATTAGTGGGTGATGATTATGATTCTGATTCTGATTAGGGGGTGATGATTCTGATTAGGGGGATGTTATGGCAGGGGCCAATGGTATCTTCCTAAATCTCAGGGCGCCTCGTCTCACTGCGATGCCTCTCTGGCCGCCCCCCCTGGGCCGCGCCACGTGCCGCCGGCCACGATCTGCGCCCCCGCCTCTCGGGCACCCCTCGCTTGGGCGCCCCAGACGGAAGGTCCTTCGCGATTCTCTGCCTCTGGGCGCCTTTGCTGGACCACGGGACAGCGACAAGCGGCTCGGGGTTCGAGTGACGACAGAAGACGATGTAAACAGAAGCTTGCGACGGTCCGCGTGGATTTCTTGGATCGGCGCTGGTAGTCCCCCTGGCGGCGCCTCCGGCGCCGCCCCTGGCGCGCTCCGCGCGCAGGGGACAGGGGTTCAGCGCAGATCCAAGAAATCTGCGCGGACTGTCGAAAGTTTGTGTTTATGCAGTTTTTTTCACCAATTTTGGCAATTCTTGGCCTTTTGGCAATTCTGGGCATCCGGGCGCCTTTGCCGGGGTGGACATGGTGGACAGTTTGTCCTGAGTAAGAGGTTGAAATAAATCACCGCGTCGGGAGTCTGGGCACTGGTCAGCCAGTCCCCTCTGGCTGACCTGGGTTTGGGAGCCTCGTGGAATCGCACTCTACCCTTCCCCCCCCTCCCCTCCCTCCGCTGACCTGAGTCTGAGGGCCAGAGACCATGCGGCCGGCATGGCCCTGAGTGACCCGCCATCTTAGGAGGCCTCGGCGGAGCGGTGAGCCGGCTCTGGTCAAATGGTGCCGCGCTCTCGTCTCCTTGCGCTCTGTCTCGTAGCGTCTCTTGCTGCCCCGCCTCCCTCGTGTCCTCCTCCTTGGCGTTGGGGGGACAGGCTGGCAGTGTCGCACACCCTGTTCTTCCCTGGGGAATGATCGGCACGGAGACTGCAGAGATGCCGCGTCCGGCCGTCAGACCTCCTGCTCCCTCGCCCCACCTGCTTCTTGCTCCTGCTCAAGCTCGTGCCCCGTGCCCCCTTCTCCTTCTCACTGTCTCGTGTCTCGCTGCTCTCCGCGCGACTTCCTGCCCAACCCCCTCTCTTCCTCCATCTCCTGCTTCGCCTGTTCCACCTTCATTCCACTATTCCGCCCTCTCCGGTACGTTCCCTCTTCCACCTCCTCCCTGCTCCCCTCTCTCTTTCCTCCTGCCACCTCCCTCCTGGTTACCCCTTCCTCGTTCCTCCCTTCTCTCAACCTATTGAACCTCATATCTCCTCCTTTTCCTCCTTCTTGTCCCCTCTCTTCCTCCGTCACAGTATTCAGTTATCCCGACTCCGCCATCGCCTTCTCTCCCATCTGCCTCCTCTGTCTCCACCTATCTTCTCCTTGTTCCCCGCTGCCACCTCTCTACCTGCCACCATCTTCTCCCTCTCCTCCTGTACTTCCTCCGCTTCCCCCTCCTCCTTAATACCCTTCCCGCTCCCTTTTCCCTTCCCCATCTGCCCTTCGTTCTTTCCGCTGCCCCTCCGCTTCCGCCACCCCTTCCTCCGTCTCCGCCAACTGGGCGACGCGACAAAAAACGGGGTCGTTTGCGCAGACATTGGCGCGTAAGCTGCCCGCGTAAGATCGCGCGTAAGCGCCCTCGTTTCCAACATAGCGTGCCGCGCCGCGGCCCGCGTAAGCCCCCGCGTAAGGTCGCCACGTCATCTCGCGTAAGACCCGTTTTCGATTGTCGCTCAACTGGATGATTATTTACATCGAACAGTCTGACACGTCACTGCCATGTAGAATCACATGTTTTGCCGTCGTGGTTCGGTCTGGTCGGTTTATGCGTATTCGGTCGCCCTACAGGTCAGGGATACATCTCCTGAGCCAGACACAAACGTGCGCGACTGTTGCACCACGGTGCCGCATTCCTCATGGGCCTGACGCCTGACAGGTGTGGAAGCTCCACGTTGCGTTGACGAGAGCACGTGGGGCGGGTCCGAAATGTGTCCGTTCGCTGCGCTGAACCGCTGAACTTCTGCAGGAGCTCAGGGCATGACGAAGGTTCAACATTTGGCGGCAGCGAGGGGGCAGGGTCCCGAACGGGTCCACGCGACGCTAGCCCGCTCTACTCCACAGGTGCACATAAAGCTGCGAGAACTCCATGCTGGGGAGCACCCGGGGGAGCACGGGCCAGGGGTTGGAGAAGGAACAGGGAAATACACAATGAAACACGCACCCCAAGAGGAGGCGTGACTTGTAGACTCGTAGTTCTCATCCGTAGTCGTTTTTGTTCAAGGTGTACCCTGTCAAGCTGGACGGCTTCTGCAAATGCGATGGTGGTTTTGGACTGGATGATTCATGACGCATTGCACTCGCTGAGTCAGCATCCCATGCACAAGTACTGCAGCATGTCACAGGCACCAGTATTTGTTTCGCGTGCTGATAGGGACAACTATAGATATACGTTGTCGCAGCGCACCGTTGTTGCTGCTTTCTTGGTTTCCTCTGTGGCATGTTGTGGCTGCGCTCCCTCAAGTTTCTTGCAGATGTATGACCCCCCTCTGCGGCGCCAAGCGCTATCGATTGCTTTTGGAAGCTTGGATCCTAGAGCATTGCAACTGCCGCTTGATTTAATGACGGCGGAGCTTCCTGCGCGTAGGTGCATAGCGTATTACCAGGACGGTGGTTGTGCACTGAATGTTCGTTTGCCCGCATCCTGGAGCGAGATGCCTGCTTCCACGAACTTGCGGGGTGGGCTAAAAACGCTTCGTTTTGCGCTTCCTACGCGCATGACTGCAACGGTTCTTGGCAACGCACCGCCAAAGGCTGTGGTTGAAATCAGATATGCTCCTGTTGGTCCTCCTCCACCTCGCTTGCGTGGCGCTCGTGGTGAAGCTCGGCTGCGAGAAGTGGAGGCGTGGCTCGACAGTTGGGAGGCGCAGTTCCCAGAAGCGAACCGCACGAGGCAAGCGCAGGTGAGAGGGAAGTTTGCGGTCGATGCAGGCGAGGCGGTAAAGTTGGTACTCGTTGGTTCGTGGGCGCAAGAGGGAGCCCCGCCAGCAGAAATGGTGCCGGCATGCGCGCTTCTTGCTGCGGTTTTGCCGGCCAAGCGC